ACGACGACGTCACACGCAGCGAGCGTGCTCAGTGTTTATGGAAGTAAACATGGATGGTAACGGTGGAGCGTATCTGCCACTCCCCCGCCGCCACCGATGGAGGAAACAGAAGTGTGAGCGCTAACTAAACTAGCATCAGCAGCCAAGTACTGTCTGTGTGTTCTGGACACTTCCACCCCGTCAGAGCGCTCCGAATAGTCGGATATTCATCATTAATTGGGCCCAAATATCCAGAGAGCAGAAAGTGCGACTGGGACCAGAACTACTAGTTATTCTAACAACTATAACAATAGATACTAACAACTAATGATCCTTCCAGCATCAAGCCCTCCTCGTATCTGGACCTCCGTCTGGACAATCCGACATAACAGAAGGTTTTACATTTAGCGTCTGATCATCGAGTCACGACTGTATTTGTATTCGTTAAAGCTGCACTGTGGAGTTTTTAACACACAAACAAATGTCTGTTTTCTACCTATTGAGGCAAAGCTCTGCGTTTCACCGGATGTCAGCGTTTTAAATCTGGTGTCGGCGGTGACATTCTCCAACTGGTGCATCAGTAGTGACGCATTTTAACCAGCAAATACTGGTTTAAAGTGGAAAAGAGGAAAAGCTACAGAAACTAGAAGGCATTTAGAAAAGTAAAGAAACTTTCCAGGAAGGATTACAGTCTAAAAAATAAAGCGCCGTGATGAGCATGCGTTAACAGTGTCACTGTAATTCCTCGCTCTGCCACAAGGGGGCCACAGAAGTTTGCACTGTAGGTTTACAACTATTTCTTGCAAGTTTGTGTTTTTGTTTCGCTCATATTTCCACGATTGTGTCAATTTCTGCTGCAAAGTAAAAGCTAAAGCTCCTTCAGCGTGGTGGCGAGAACCTCGTGCCGGGCCTCATCGCGCCCCCAACGTCTGGACAGCATGTGGTTCTCCGGGTGGAACTCAGGACGGGGGTTCGGTTAAAAAGGTGTTGAACACGTGAGGTTGAAACAGTCCGTCGACGGGAGCTGGAGGAGACGGCGTGAACCAAAGTGAGTCGCTGTCGCAGTCAGCAGCAGAGAGTCGACCTGCGGCGGGTCAGAGAAAGTGTTCGGACCTGCAGCCCTCCAGCCGACCAGAATCAGTCCGACCGGAGCCGCCCGGGCTACTCCATGATGTTCCTGTTGTAGTCGTACGACAGCCGTCGCTTGGCGGCGGCGCTGTGAGCGTGCTGATTGGCCGAGGGCAGGCCGGGGGAGAGGCGGCGGTTGGCCGTCCAGGAAGCAGGTCGGCTCTCCTGCAGAGGTGGAGGAGAGACGTTAGAGGACGGACGTCAGCGACGAGCCGGAAAACTACCATGACGTTTAATTAAGCTTTAAAATTAATAATCTGGGGAAAAAAACCCAAACGTTCTCTCTGTTATTGTTTTTAATAAACCACTTCTGTCAGGTTTCAATCATCAAGTCAAACATTTCTTTATTTTGGACGAAGTTACAGCAAATTTACTGACTTTGTTGACTAATTTAATAATAAATAATACAGAATAATAAATACATATAAAATATTCTATACATTATATAACAAATGTGAGTATTTATGTATTTTGGACTGAGTTACATTTAATATTTCATTGACTTCATTGGCGACTTTAATAATAAATAATACATAATAATAACTAGATATAAAATATTATAAAAATAATCTAATAAATATATGAGTTCTTTAAATTTTGGACTAATTTACATCTAATATTTTACTGATATTGTTGAGTACATTCATAATAAATAATATAGAATAATAACTACATATAAAATATTCTACAAATTATATAATAGACATGAGTATTTTTTTATTTTGGACTGAGTGACATCTAATATTTTATTGACTTTGTTGAGTACATGAATCATAATTGTTATATGCTAATATTGAATTTGTATATTATAAATAATAAATACAATAATACATAAAAATAAGTGATGATTAAATAATATTGTAAATGAAAAAAGCGGCATAGAGACAGTAGTTTAGTGGCTGATTAATTTAGCAGAAATAATTTATAATTAGTCACCAATAAAAAAGTTAAACCCCAACAAATATAATAATTAATTCATCTTTAACACGAATAATCTGGAAAAAAAATTAAATCTAAACATCATTTGTTTCGATGTGAAAATACATACATTTTCTTCTTCTTTTTTTTTTTAAATTTTGGACAAACTAATTTCTGACATTTTGCCTTTATTGAGTACATTGATCATCAATAAATATTATATATTAATAAAAAATAAATACATAACGTATATATGATAAATGTAAGATAATATTTAAGATATGAGAAAAATATTAAATGATAATAAACAAAAATAAGTACATGAATAAAGTAGTGAAAATGAAAAGCGTCCAGTTTGGATTCTGATTTATTGAACATTATTATTATATATATATATAATTTTATTTCTTCACAGCACAACAGGCAGCGTTTCATCTGCTCTAAACTGCAAGAAGATTAAGACGTTTGAATAATTTCAATAAAATAAACCTCACTCTTCTGGTGGTTTCTAATGCGACCTGCTTGTGTTATATTCTGTCTCTAAAGTTAAAAAATGTTCCTGATGAAGTAAGAAGAGACAAACTTCACGTCTAATCTCCTCTGTCTGGTGGTTGGGACTCTGTCCTGCTGGTGGAGTGAACCACACATTTGCATGTTCTGCAGAGTTTCCTGACAGGATCTGGTCGAGCCGCCTGCTCGGCCCGGTCCTTTATCTCGTGATGCACGTGGCGGCGGCGTTTCAAGGCCGTCAGTCAAACCATCGGTTCGCTGTAATCCAACCTAACAGCCTTGAAGCTTCACCAACACCCGGCGCTCGCTGCTCATTCCTCTGCAGAGCGTTCACTGTGAACTCAGAGTGTGTTCTGACAGACGCTGGCTGGACTGCCGGCGTCGACTCACCGTCTGCGGCTGCTCCAGGTGCAGCGTCCTCAGCAGCAGGTCGCGGGAAACGCCGTTGGCTCTCTTGTACCGCCGGCCGATCATCTTGTTCAAGTCGTGGAAACTGTCCAACAGCCTGCGAACACGGAGAGGAAGCAGTGACTCGGTTTGTTCATCGTTTAGAGTCAGTATCAGACCTGAGCTCATTATGATTCATCACATCAACATGAACTTCCCTCAGAGCTCCAGAACAACATCTTTAGAGGCCATCGTGGAGACCTTATATCTCACTTTTAGGAGACGTTTTGTCATTATTTCTTATATGAAACTGCTGATAATGAATGATGGGAAATGTCCACATCTCAGCAGCCCAAGACGTTTGTTCTGGTGTGTTTAGTTTCCACCGTCGTCCTGCACTTCCCCACATCGACCACTAGGAGGCCACATCTTGTCTCATTTAAAAATAAAATAAAATCTAGTCCTGAATCTCCCCAAAATTCTTCAGTTTTTACAACAAAAACATTAAACACATGTTTTTTCTTCCATCAGCTCCTGGATGTCCATCATCACCCACAAATAGCTCTGACATGTTCAGCTTTGTGTGACTCTGTGGGCGAGTTAGACACAGAAAACAGAAAAAAAAACCTCCGAAACTTTCCTAAAACTGATCAAAAAGAATCACATGACTGCACTTTGATGATCCGCTTCATTGTCAAATTACTTGAAAGCATCCAGAAGCTGCTTACACTACATATTCAGCACTCCGTTCAAAATAAAAAACAAGTTTAAACAGACAAATATAAAGATATACAGTAAGAACATCATGCTGGTGTTGGTAAATGAAGGATTTTAAAGCTGGATTTGGGTTTGGTTTCCACTAAAAGAGCCCAAACGCAGCAGGAAAAGCTCCAAATATCTGTTTCTGCCCACTCAGCAAACCTCGTTAATAATCAGCAGCCGTTATATCCTGTAGAAATCCAGCTTTTCTACATGAGCAGCATGGAGCACAAGATTAGCTTTGAAATGTCATGATAACTTCTTCTCTTTTATAGTCTGTTAACTTTTAGAAATACTTTTTGTTTTGCACACATTGCTCTGTAAGTGCTTTCAAATTTTAGATATTTTGCCGTCTTGCACTGCAGTTTGATAATAAGTTTCTGGTTCTAACGGTTTGGACTGACTGTGTTATTAATTTTATTAAAAACCACATGGATATTATGGAGTAGTGAGAGCACCAAATTACAAAAAAAAAAATCAATCAAAGAATAATAAAATAAAAGTGGACATAAAAAGAAGAATGAAGAAAATGAAAAATAAATAATGTGGCAATATATACAGCAATATTAATCAAAAATGAATCCATAAAAGAAAAGGCTAATACAAGTAGAAATATAAAGACAAATAAATAAAATAAGAAAAATAATAATGTATTTTTAAAAATGTTTTAATTATTTACATTTTTTATTATCTTCAATTTTTTATTCATTTATTAGTTGTTGTTTTTTTAGCTATTTTTTATTATTTGTTTCATTATTATTTTTATTTTTACTGTATTTATTTATTTTTTATAATGTCGCTTTAAAAGTGAAGGAAATATGCGCAGAAAAATGTGCGCAGTAGGAATGTCATTTTTCTGGTATAGTTCCTTTACTTTCAACGTGACATTACTAAAAAAATTTAAATAAAAAAATAATTTAAAAATTACAAAAAACAAATAATAGCTAATAAAAAAATAAAATAATAGTTATTAATATTTTATTAATTTGTCTTTTTATTTCAAATTTTATTAGCCTTTTCTTTTATGGATTCATTTTTGATTAATATTGCCACATTGTTATTTAAAAAAAAGAAGTATTCTTCTTTTTATTTCCTCTTTTATTTTAATATTCTTTTATTAATCTATTTTTGTAATTTGGCGCTCTCACTGCTCCATAGAAATAACATGAAAAATAGATTTTACTTCACTGGTCTGTAATAAATCTTCTTACCGAGTCGCTTTTTTTTCTCCTATTATTTGTTATTTACAAACCAAACCGCATTCAGTTTTATTTCTTTGCTCCATGCTGACCTCCAGCTGCTACCGAGTGCGACTGGGATGAGACTGGGCGCCTCCCAATCCGAGGCCAGGCTGCTGAGCGAGGACAGGACGGATTACCCGCTACGGGTTCGGGACGAGCTGTTGCCTCGAGTGGAGGCGTTCAAGCAGCTCAGAGGTTCATTCACCAGCTGAGGACACTGTGCAGGTGTGCCGTGGAGAAGAGAGAGCTGAGCCACCAGAGTGGATCTGGACTCCTGTTCTCACCTCCGGCCACCAGCTGTGGATAGAGGCTGGATGTGGAAACAAGTCTGAGCTCATAGAGAGGGTGAGGACGGGAGCAGAGCCTCTCTGCATCGAAGGCAGCCGGCTGAGACAGTTTGGAGGATCTCAGGTGAATTCATTTCCTTCTTTGCTGCTGCAGGTTAACATGCCGTCCTGTCACACTGTCGCCACGTTGGATCAATCAGAGCAGCATCCTACAAGCATGTTTGTGCATCTCCCTTTACAAACCGAAACAACGAGTCGACGCTGCATCAGATCGACTGATGCGCAGCAGACGGTCCACCTACCCCTGATCCTGGCTGGTTCTGCCCCGGAGGAGCTGGGTCAGCGTGGGAACGGCACCGAGGTCACGGGAGTCGCTGGAGGACGAGCCGGGCAGCCGGGGGAAGGCTTCGGCGAAGACGGCCGCCTGCAGGGAGACGGGAAGAGTTCATCGGTTAGTGCAGAGGCAAGAGCTTCGTCCTGCAGCGTTTTCCTGCTCGAGTTCTGCTGTAGCTCCACAAAACATGGAAACAAAACAGACGAAATGCAAAGCAGCACTAAAAGAAACGCCTCTCATCGCATATAAAGTTAATACTTGATTTTCTTAAAGGCCTCTTCACGGCACTAAAAGGCAAATAAAAAAAAAAAAGAACTCATTTAAAGAACTGCTTCCCGACTCTCCTCCACTGCAGCTCTGGGCAGGACTCGTTTTTCATCTGCGTCTTTGTGCTGAACGTCCGCTGGGAGACTCTCCCCGCAGCGCTGGCTTCTCTCAGCTTCACCACGACAAAAAAAGGCCCTCCGACTGTTTTAATGCGAGTCGTACAAAATACTGATTAATTTTAAGTCTGAAAACTTAGTCAACCATCCCGCAGGACTGTGTCAGGAGGAGCTGCGTTTCCATGGTAACGGTGCAGGAAACTGGATAAAAAAAATTTTAAAAAAGGGGACAACATGGTTTGTAATTACTTCTGCCAAGGAGGTTGTAATTTTCGGGTCACAGACATGTGGATCAGATCACTGACCGACACATCTCACCTCCACTAGAGACAGAAATCCTGCCTGAACTCAGTCAATGTTCTGCCAAACATATACCAACAGAATCACATCATTGTTACACTACAGTCTGGACCCGAGTCGTGGACCCACGCTGGGATCCCAACAGCCCAAACCGACATGAGGACAGCAGACAGAATATTTAGACCATCAAACGTTAGTTAATACGCACTTTTGGTTTATCCATAGTTGTGCACGAAACCACCAATCAGAAGAAGTTTGTGGATTCTCGCAATCGTCGCCCTCGTTCTACCCAAACAGCGCCCCCTACGGTCCAGCTAACAGATAAATATGAACACATAAGGTGGGAATAGCACGCTGGTTTTGGTAAAGTAGGGATTTAAAAGCTACTTTTCACCAACTACAGTGAAAAGGTTCTACATTCTCCAGACATCTTGTGCCATGTTTGATCACCGTGCTGGTTTTAAAAGCTGCTGCTTTAGTTCTAACTGCTGATGCACGATATTAAAATTTCTGGCTGATCCCGATATTAAGATTTCTGATATCGCCAATAACCGATATTCAATTTTAGTTGACATCAAAAAATGAGTAAGCACTGTGAGAAGGTGAGAACTATTCCAAAGAAGCCCAGATTACACCACATAGTCTTCTTTATTAAAAAAGTAAAACATATTTAAGTCCAGGACCATTTATGTAGAAACATCTGTGAAATAGCAGCGATAATAGCGCTGACGTTAGACAATCATCGGCTAAATTTGTATCAATATATGGGGAAAAAAAATGCCAATATCGGCCCATACCGATGTGGGCGCCAATATATCGTGCATCCCTCGTTCTAACCAAACAGCACCCCCTACAGGGCGACCAACTGAATAGCATGAATAGCATGCTGGTATTGGTAAAGCAGGGATTTAAAACATTGACAGATTCCAAAAAGTTCTGCATTTTCCAGCTACCAGCACACACAGCGGCGCAACCAGCTGACAAACATAAGAACGTATAGCATGTTGGTTTTGGTTGAGGCGGGATTTTAAAGCTGGATTTGTACGTAATTCCCATCGACAGAGCCCAAACACAGCGGAAACTTCTAAAATTCTCCAGATATCTTGGTGCTACGTCGGCCCAATGTGGTCGGCCCACCTTAGGAATAACAATGCTAACATGCTCAAGCTGTAACCAGCTGCTTTGTCCTGCAAAAACTGCCCCAAGTGCTTTCCTGTGTTGGACATAAGGAGCAATGTGACCACCGGTGCAGATCAGTGCGGCCCGCTTGCAACCAGCAGAGAAATATAAGAATGCATGGTGGGAACAGCATGTTGGTTTTGCTAAAGCAGGGATTTAAAAGCTAATTTTTTCCATCAACGGAGCCCAAACATAGTTAAATTCTCCAGATATCTTGGTGCTACGTCGGCCCGCCTCAGGAACAACCACTGATCTCCCACGCTGCTTCCTGTTTAGCTGCAAGTTGTTTTAATCTGTTCGTTTTATCATTTACAAACCAAAACTACGCTTCGACTGTACCAGATTCTGATTGGTCGAGAGCCTGTCTCGCCGCTCCTCCACGGCGCTGCTTGGCCACCACTGCTCCGCGACGTCTCGCCCCTCGTCCGACGAGTCCTGAGGAAAGGCCGCCCAGGTGTCGTCCGATTGGTGGAAGGAGCCGTCCATCCAGCCGGCCGTCCAATGGGGCGACTCCGCCGCTCCGGCCTGGTGATCAACAGCTGTTTTCAGAAACACTCGGTTAGTCCCGCAGTAGATTAGATGTCAGGAGTTGACTATTTTAATCAGTCAATGAGTCATTTTTAATGAAAACTAAAGGAAAGAAAGTAAAAATTCTGTGATTGCAGCTTCTTAAATGTGAATATCTTCTGTTTTCTTTCCTCCGATTTTGAAAAACAGACGTAAAATTCATCTAATAGTGCGTCCATCAGCACCACAGTCCAGCTTGACTGTGGTGCTGATGGACGATAGAGCTGATTCTCAGTTCCACAAACTGAATATCGCATTTTGATGGTTGATTGCTCAGTTTCTAAGCAAAGAAAGTCACAACTCTCTGACTCCAGCTTCCTAAATGTGAATATCTTCTGTTTTCTTTCCTCCTCAGTGACAGTAAACTGAACGTCTTTAAGTTGAGGACATTGTTCTGGGCTTTGGAAAACACGGACCAACATTTCTCACCATTTAATCCCTAAAATAATCAACATATTAATTGAGATGAACACAATAGCTGCTTCCTGTACAGAGTAAAGTAGCGACTGTAGCGCCCCCTGCAGTGCTGTGACC